CCCCCTAGCAACTCTCTGTCCCCTTAACCACCTACAGTTCCCAGAATCCCTGAGGGGAAGCCATTCCTGTTCAAAGCGTCTTCATAGCACTTCCAATGGTGCGCCTAATGTGGCCTAATGTTTCCTCCCTCATTTTCTTCTTTCTCCCCACTGTCCCATCACTTGCAATGCAGCAAATGTCCGCCTGCAGTCTCCCTTCAAAGCTCCTTCTCTCAGGTCTGGCCATGGCCTTGTCCATTGTTCACTGCCAGGATTTCACGTTCATTTCTCCGATGTAAATAGGGACGTCCTGCGGTTCTCTTCATGACTTTGAAGGCTGGACTTGGGGAAAACCTCACCGGCTCCAGACATCCCTGTAAGGCAAAGGCAACCAGGTGAGTGGGATGGCCCCCATCCGCAGCATCGCCCCAGACTCCTCCTCTGTTTGGCTGCCTGTTCACAAACAAGGCTTCCAAACCAGTTTGCATCCATCTCAGCCAGCGTAGCCTTGCGGCATCCACTAGCCTGAAAGCAAACTCTTCCGACAACCATCCACCAGCTGCAGCCTCGCCAGGTCCATTGCCAGACATCAACCAGCTTCAGAGCTGAATATCAGTCGCCTTCAAGTAGCGATCCCACCAGCAAGTAAACTTTGTACTTGCCTTCTCCTTGCTCCACAGCATCCCAGCATCGGGTGATTGCCCCCTTCTGCTTGCCAGCTTGCCGCCACAGGGCAGGAGACCACCAGGGCCACAGCATCCCAGCACCGGGCGATTGCCTCCTTTCGGCTTGCCAGCTTGCCGCCACAGGGCAGGAGACCACCAGGGCTGCAGTGTCAGCGAACTGCCCATTTCTCTCTGGGGAGGGCAACTGCCGAGGCTTGCGCCTTGGCCCACATTTATACCCGCTCAGCTGCCAAAGGTTTTTGTGACATCCCAGTCAAGCCACCAACAATGGCAGCAGCTGGGGAGGCATCACCCCCCACCCCCTATGCCCTCACAATGGTGAGCACAGCTTAGCCCCCAACACACACACACAACACCCCCCCTCCAAGTTGTGCCAATATCCGTGAATGCTCCCCTCCTGTGTTTGAAATTCTAGAATAAGTAACTGCCTCTTTCCCCTCAGCTTCTATGTCTGTTGGTGACATCACAGGAGACCATACATAGACAGGGCTGGGGAAACTAGGCCTCAAGGGGGGCATTTATTAATAAAGAAATAATGACTGAGGACCCCCCCCTTGTGACACGTGTGGCATGTGGACTCCATGGCACCCTCAAAAACCAAGGCCCCCTGACCCTCCCATTTTTAAAACGTTTCCCCAAAACCTGTTAGTTTTTGCAGTGCTGCAAGACCGTTTGTTTTGGCAGTTGAGGGATTGCTATTATTATTTTTATTTGACCCTTTGTGGGAGATTAATAAACTGGTTCCTTTGACTTAAGGTCCCTGTATCCTTTTAAATAAAGTGATCTGGACAAAATGGATGATTTAAGAAACCTTTTTATTAGACACACTTGCAAGTGAGCTAACCCAAGATCAGGCACATCTTCATCAGGAAAAACACATCTTCTAAAGTCGCTTGTTCATCCTCAAGTCCCTCCTTCCACGCCCACAAGAAGGGGCCTGCCAGTCTACAGAAGTATCACGTCCGCCTCATTAACATTTTACTATTCCACTTCCCATATTAATACAATACAAAACAATACAATATAATCCAAATACCTTTATTGGCATTTCAAGTTAAGACATTTGAAAATGGCATCAGATACAAAGTCTTTCTCCTTCCTGTTTCCGAGAGATTTCAGTGGGGAAATCCTTTCGATTCCTCAATAATAAGAGGCAGTGGGGTGAGGGAGGCCAGGGCCACATCCACACCATTTAAAGCGCTATGAAGCCGCTTTAAACACTCATGGCTTCTTCCCCCAAAGAATCTGGGAGCTATAGTTTGAAAAAGGTGGAGAGAGCTGTTAGGAGGCCCCCCTGCTCCTCTCCCAGAGTTCCCTGCCAAGAAGGGAACTCTACTCCTAACCTAACCCTACTCCTGACGCTAACGCTAATCCTAACTCTAATGCTAACCCTTAAACCTTAACCCTTAACTAGAACTACAATTCCCAGAGCTCCCTGGCAAGAAGGGAACCCTAACCCTACCCCTGATGCTAACCCTAACTCTAACCCTTAACTAGAGCTACGATTCCCAGAGTTCCCTCACAAGGAGGGAACCCTACCCCTACCCTAAGGTCTTAACAAGAGCAACAATTCCCAGAGTTCCCTGGCAAGTAGAGAACCCTACCCCTGACGCTGACCCTAACTCTAATGCTAACCCTTAACTAGAGCTACAATTCCCAGAGTTCCCTCATAAGGAGGGAACCCTACCCCTCCCCTACCCCTTAAACCATAACCAGAGCTACAATTCCCAGAGTTCCCTCACAAGGAGGGAACCCTTCCCCTACCTACCCCTACCCCCTACCCCTACCCTAACGCTAACCCCCCTAGCAACTCTCCGTCCCCTTAACCACCTACAGTTCCCAGAATCCCTGAGGGGAAGCCATTCCTGTTCAAAGCGTCTTCATAGCACTTCCAATGGTGCGCCTAATGTGGCCTAATGTTTCCTCCCTCATTTTCTTCTTTCTCCCCACTGCCCATCACTTGCAATGCAGCAAATGTCTGCCTGCAGTCTCCCTTCAAAGCTCCTTCTCTCAGGTCTGGCCACGGCCTTGTCCATTGTTCGCTGCCAGTATTTCACGTTCATTTCTCCGATGTAAATAGGGACGTCCTGCGGTTCTCTTCATGACTTTGAAGGCTGGACTTGGGGAAAACCTCACCGGCTCCAGACATCCCTGTAAGGCAAAGGCAACCAGGTGAGTGGGATGGCCCCCATCCGCAGCATCGCCCCAGACTCCTCCTCTGTTTGGCTGCCTGTTCACAAACAAGGCTTCCAAACCAGTTTGCATCCATCTCAGCCAGCGTAGCCTCACAGCATCCACTAGCCTGAAAGCAAACTCTTCCGACTACCATCCACCAGCTGCAGCCTCGCCAGGTCCATTGCCAGACATCAAGCAGCTTCAGAGCTGAATATCAGTCGCCTGCAAGTAGCGATCCCACCAGCAAGTAAACTTTGTACTTGCCTTTTCCTTGCTCCACAGCATCCCAGCACCGGGCGATTGCCTCCTTTCACTTGCCAGCTTGCCGCCACGGGGCAGGAGACCACCAGGGCTGAGTGCCACCGAGCTGCCCATTTCTCTCTGGGGAGGGCAACTGCCGAGGCTTGTGCCTTGGCCCACATTTATACCCGCTCAGCTGCCAAAGGTTTTTGTGACATCCCAGTCAAGCCACCAACAATGGCAGCAGCTGGGGAGGCATCACCCCACCCCCTATGCCCTCACAATGGTGAGCACAGCTTAGCCCCCAACACACACACACAACACCCCCCCTCCAAGTTGTGCCAATATCTGTGAATGCTCCCCTCCTGTGTTTGAAATTCTAGAATAAGTAACTGCCTCTTTCCCCTCAGCTTCTATGTCTGTTGGTGACATCACAGGAGACCATACATAGACAGGGCTGGGGAAACTAGGCCTCAAGGGGGGCATTTATTAATAAAGAAATAATGACTGAGGACCCCCCCCCTTGTGACACGTGTGGCATGTGGACTCCATGGCACCCTCAAAAACCAAGGCCCCCTGACCCTCCCATTTTTAAAACGTTTCCCCAAAACCTGTTAGTTTTTGCAGTGCTGCAATACCGTTTGTTTTGGCAGTTGAGGGATTGCTATTATTATTTTTATTTGACCCTTTGTGGGAGATTAATAAACTGGTTCCTTTGACTTAAGGTCCCTGTATCCTTTTAAATAAAGTGATCTGGACAAAATGGATGATTTAAGAAACCTTTTTATTAGACACACTTGCAAGTGAGCTAACCCAAGATCAGGCACATCTTCATCAGGAAAAACACATCTTCTAAAGTCGCTTGTTCATCCTCAAGTCCCTCCTTCCACGCCCACAAGAAGGGGCCTGCCAGTCTACAGAAGTATCGCGTCCGCCTCATTAACATTTTACTATTCCACTTCCCATATTAATACAATACAAAACAATACAATATAATACAATCCAAATACCTTTATTGGCATTTCAAGTTAAGACATTTCAAAATGGCATCAGATACAAAGTCTTTCTTCTTCCTGTTTCCGAGAGATTTGAATGGGGAAATCCTTTCGATTCCTCAATAATAAGAGGCAGTGGGGTGAGGGAGGCCAGGGCCACATCCACACCATTTAAAGCGCTATGAAGCCGCTTTAAACACTCATGGCTTCTTCCCCCAAAGAATCTGGGAGCTATAGTTTGAAAAGGGTGCAGAGAGCTGTTAGGAGGCCCCCCTGCTCCCCTCCCAGAGTTCCCTGCCAAGAAGGGAACCCTACTCCTAAGCTAACCCTACTCCTGACGCTAACGCTAACCCTAACTCTAATGCTAACCCTTAAACCTTAACCCTTAACTAGAACTACAATTCCCAGAGCTCCCTGGCAAGAAGGGAACCCTAACCCTACCCCTGACGCTAACCCTAACTCTAACCCTTAACTAGAGCTACAATTCCCAGAGTTCCCTCACAAGGAGGGAACCCTACCCCTACCCCTAAGGTCTTAACAAGAGCAACAATTCCCAGAGTTCCCTGGCAAGTAGAGAACCCTACCCCTGACGCTGACCCTAACTCTAATGCTAACCCTTAACTAGAGCTACAATTCCCAGAGTTCCCTCATAAGGAGGGAACCCTACCCCTCCCCTACCCCTTAAACCATAACCAGAGCTACAATTCCCAGAGTTCCCTCACAAGGAGGGAACCCTTCCCCTACCTACCCCTACCCCCTACCCCTACCCTAACACTAACCCCCCTAGCAACTCTCTGTCCCCTTAACCACCTACAGTTCCCAGAATCCCTGAGGGGAAGCCATTCCTGTTCAAAGCGTCTTCATAGCACTTCCAATGGTGCGCCTAATGTGGCCTAATGTTTCCTCCCTCATTTTCTTCTTTCTCCCCACTGTCCCATCACTTGCAATGCAGCAAATGTCCGCCTGCAGTCTCCCTTCAAAGCTCCTTCTCTCAGGTCTGGCCATGGCCTTGTCCATTGTTCACTGCCAGGATTTCACGTTCATTTCTCCGATGTAAATAGGGACGTCCTGCGGTTCTCTTCATGACTTTGAAGGCTGGACTTGGGGAAAACCTCACCGGCTCCAGACATCCCTGTAAGGCAAAGGCAACCAGGTGAGTGGGATGGCCCCCATCCGCAGCATCGCCCCAGACTCCTCCTCTGTTTGGCTGCCTGTTCACAAACAAGGCTTCCAAACCAGTTTGCATCCATCTCAGCCAGTGTAGCCTTGCGGCATCCACTAGCCTGAAAGCAAACTCTTCCGACAACCATCCACCAGCTGCAGCCTCGCCAGGTCCATTGCCAGACTTCAACCAGCTTCAGAGCTGAATATCAGTCGCCTTCAAGTAGCGATCCCACCAGCAAGTAAACTTTGTACTTGCCTTCTCCTTGCTCCACAGCATCCCAGCGCCGGGTGATTGCCCCCTTCCGCTTGCCAGCTTGCCGCCACGGGGCAGGAGACCACCAGGGCTGAGTGTCAGCGAGCTGCCCATTTCTCTCTGGGGAGGGCAACTGCCGAGGCTTGCGCCTTGGCCCACATTTATACCCGCTCAGCTGCCAAAGGTTTTTGTGACATCCCAGTCAACCCACCAACAATGGCAGCAGCTGGGGAGACATCACCCCCACCCTGTCCTCACAATGGTGAGCACAGCTAAGCTGCCAAAAAACACACACACACACACACACACACCAAGTTGTGCCTTATCTGTGAAGGCCACACAGGAAACCCAAAGGGGGCAGAAAGGGGACATTTTTCAGCCTAGTGGTTGCATTTCCCTCCACACAACACCTTTGAACCTGGAAGTAGTATGAAGCCATCACTTGACACATTGGTGAGTTCACATGGCACCCACTTGGCTGTTACCTTTTTTAGGATTGAAGTTGTTGAGGTTTTCTTTAGGAGTTTACCACAGGAAATAAACTGCCACAGGCGCCAGATTACACCGATCGGCGGGCCAAATTAGGCCCCTGAAACGGACTTTGGACATGCCTTCTGTATGTTTTTCTTCTTCTTACAATGATGTACTCCTTGCTGTCTGCCTCTTGTCACGTTTCTCTGCCTGGCTGGGACAAAAATAGCAACCCAGAGCCTTGGAACAAGCTGGGACCCCATGAACTGTACAAGGTGTGGTACGAAATACTTAACTAGGGTTATGATGCTGGTTATCTTATAGGCTAGGGATGGGGAGCCTGGTGTCCAGCAGAGATTGTTGGGACTCCAACTTCCATCAGCCCCATCCCTAATATCTAAGGATGAAGGGAAAATAATAATAATAACAATGGCCATCTGGTGGGAGAAATAATAAGCTTCAGCTTTGGAAGGCCTGGGGTATGTGATCACTGCATTTTGGGGTTGAACTAGCTGACCCTCAGGTCCCTTTTCTGATTCTTCAATCTCCTCTCCAGTTCAATCTTCTAAACTCTGACTGAATAAGCATGATAGATCCCTGAGTTTCTGCCACTGACTCGTTATTTTCCCTGCAATTTTTTTTTAAGCCCATTAAAGTTGAATGATCAGAGATCTTTCCTTCCATTGAAGCAAAGGGCAGCTTATTTCCTAGGGTAAAATCCTAAAAGAACCTCAGCAACTTCAATCCTAAATAAAAGTTTAATAACTTTGGTTGGCCGTTTGGTTGGCCCTCGCGGCCCTTCACTTCATCAAATCTGGCCCTCTTTGAAAAAAGTTTGGACACCACTTGAGTAGTTCCTCAGTGCTCACCAATAAATATTGCTGGAAGGAGGCACTACAAGCTACTATCTGTTGTGTCCAGTCAACTCAATAGTCTATTGATAAATAAATCCCCAGAATTTGGTATAACCCTAGTGACTATACTCCAGGATTTTCTGTAATATCAAAAGTAGCACTTTGGACCAGAGGTGGGGAACATCACCAGGCATCTCTGTCTGGTCATGGGAACTCTTCCCATGCCAAACCCTTCACTTGCCTGCCTTATAATCTGAGTCTTGCTTGACTCAGAATGTGCACTTGAACTCAGGCCAGGCTTCTTGCTTGTATGGATGGAGGGTAGAGAGATAAATATGTATGTATGCAGAAACTTGCTTATGGTACAAAGGTTGTTGTGTTGGTGATTGTTGTTGTCATCGTCATCAACATCATCATTTTGTTTATTTCGCTTATGAATCACTTCCCTGAGGTAGTTCTCTTGTATCTGCTGCTCTACCTCCCTGACCACTATTGTCATGTGGTACCTGGAAGGTTGTCCAGAACAGAACGTGCTCCTTGGGGTGAACAAGGTTCCCTACTATTATACTCCGTTTCTGCCAACCAAACTACTTTTCCTGCTGTTGACAGGAAATGCACCCCACAAAAAAGGGAAGAGGCTACGCTCTATTACAATACTAGCAATAATTATATAAAGTTCTTGCAAGCACACTTACATGAAGTAATTCAGCTTGTCATTGCTATATCTCTTAACAGGACAGCAAAGCAAAACTTGGAGCAAACAGATATTAATGAAGCATTGAATCCATTTTAAATCAATTTACACATTAATGCACTGCTAAATATAAAACAATTCATCAAAGCCTGAAATAACTCCAATTTAAGAACATTTTTTTAAAAAACAAACCCAACACTACTGACGTATGCATCAGATTTGCCAATATGGTAACTGCAGGGTTAATCCAGTGGAATTTATCATAAATTTGCTTGATAAAATTTTCTTTTCATGAATGCTGATTAAAATGGGATTATGCCATGCAAGATAAAATTCATTGCTAGTATAATAAAAGTCTAAAAATGGCATGACAAGAAAGCCACGTCCTGAAGTGCACAATAGAGCTATTTCAAAATACAATGGCACATTTCATTTTATGACATGTATATCCTGCCTTTCCTCCAAGGAGTTCAAGGTGTGGGTGCCCCCTTTCCATTTCATCCTCCTAAGAATAATTGTGTGGGTGAGGGCAGGCTGAGAGGTGTGACTGACCCTGTGGGATTCATGACCGAGTAGGGATGGAGGAGAAATTCAGTTCACATTCAGTGGTGCCTTTTGTGAATTTTTCACTGTCTGAAACAATCTGATTATGGAAATGCAGCCAACCTTCAAACTAACAGACTAACACAACTTTTTCAATGCAGTTCTCCAACACACACACACACACACACACACACACACACATAATATAAAATAATGCATAAATTGGGGTGGAAGTGAGTACAAAAATTAACATATTCATGAAGATAACATATAAAATGCATCATATTAAGAATAATTGCTTTAAAAATTGTACATTAATTAATACTGTATACAAAACATGTGCTTCTCAGTAGAAATGCTAATGAATTTTCATTTTTAAAAATACAACTTACTGCAGAAATCTGGAAAACTGAGTTTTAGACTGTAAAATCCTTAACTGAAATTGATAGATCTTTCCATTTCTATGACTGAGTGAGGATTTGAACTCAGGTCTCTAGAGATAACAATGAGGGGTTTTTTTAGTTGTTGATTCTTAGGGATGGACAAGTCAATCAATTCCATATTTTCTCAGTTCTCTTTTTTGCAACCTTAAGTTTGATTTCTCAAATTTGCATGTATATTTGCTAAATAAAATAAAAAGTCCACATGAAAATGCGCAAACAATTGTTTCTGGGAGGATGAAACGGAGACTGGGCATACACACCACAAACTCTTTGGAGGAAAGGAAAGATATGCATGTTGTAAAATGAAATGTAGAGTTATATTTTTTAAATAGCAGTATTGTACACTTCAGAACTCAGATTTCTTGCCAAGCTGTTCTTAGAGTTTTATTATATGAGCCATGAAATTCCATTGGCATTTCTCCAAATATGCACATTCGGCATGTAACTTTGGCAGAGAGAAGGGTTGTGGTTCTGTGGTGGAGCATCTGCTCTGTTTGCAGAAGGTAGTCAGGTTCATGCCCTGCCTTCTTCAGTTAGGGCTGGGGAAAACCCATGTCTGAACATCTAGAGAGCTGCTGCTATTTAGGTAAACAATACTGAGCTAGAGGGACCAGTGGCCTGATCTGTAAATAGCTGCTTCCTGTTATATATCCTCAGGGCTGGTGCTATCAGACAGCCACTTTGGGTGCAGACCTCAGAGGGGTACAATGCTGACTTTTGAGGGACACTGTTTTATACAGATTAGTTTTTGTTATATCTTATAAATTTCTGATAATATTTTACTTTTATATTTTAAAGAATTTTTGAAGTAATTCATACATTAGAAATGTTTTCAATGTCTAGAGTGGTACCTTGGGTTACCGACGCTTCAGGTTACCGATGCTTCAGGTTACAGACTCCACTAACTCAGAAATAGTACCTTGGGTTAAGAACTTTGCTTCAGGATAAGAAAAGAAATCGTGCTCCGGCGGTGCGACGGCAGCAGGAGGCCCCATTAGCTAAAGTGGTGCTTCAGGTTAAGAACAGTTTGAGATTAAGACCTCTGGAACGAATTAAGTTCTTAACCCGAGGTACCACTGTATATGAAATAGATCATAGAACTGATCAGAGGTTATGTAATATCTATCTACATCAAGGGTAGTCAAGTTTTCTATACCTACCACCCACTAATCTTTCTTGATGGTAAAATTTCCTTACTGCCCACCAGTGCTCGATGGAAGGAGGATTCAGCTTGTGCCATAGAACCCCCCTGCCGCCCATCTAGAATCCTGAAACTCCCACTAGTGAGCAGTAGGAACCAGGTTGACAACCCCTGGTCTACATACACAAAAAGTGAAAATGCACTTAATTTAAAATCTTACAACAACATCTTAATCTTATTTAGAAAAAGTTTTTTTATGAGCTATGGCTAATCAGAAAGGGACCATCTGGAGCTCACTGTTGCAAACGAAAGGCAGAAAAAGCTAAGGAGCAGGCAAAGCAAGCGGTTTTCTTCCTGAAATAGCTTTGTACACAGAAAGCACTGAAGAACAAGAATATGTTTATGCTCTTGTTGAAACTAGCACTGAGGGAGTTGGATGTCACACTCCTACTACAAATGGTATAAACTTGAAGACCAAAGTTTTGCAAATTAGAGATATTTCTGGAAAGCTCACAGAGGAAAAAGAATATGTCAAGAAAAGTGAAAGTACTCTAAAGTCTGAAAAAGAACACAGTATTGTGCCTGACTTGAATTACAGTGACCCTGCTTACTGGCCTAACTTGTGCTATTATAATTTGTGACAGCTTGTCCACAGCAGGTTGCATTTCCCATAGATTCAAAAAACATTAAATGTTTTCCTATCTACTGCAAGAGGAGACTAGCAAATGATGAAGTATGCTTTCAATGGTTGATATAGTCAACCTCAAAAGATGTGTGTCTTTTAAAAAAAAGTTATTGATGTAAATTGTTTGGGGTGTGGGGGGGAGGGAAGGTAAATCAACTCTGCAAGAAACAGGTTAAAACAAAAACAGGAAGAACATTGGGAAAAATTCTACCTTCATTTGAGAGGAATACCATCAGGGCCAGCCTTAGCATAAACAGTGCCGGGGAATGCAGGAATCTTTTCCCCATGACTCTGAGATTGATAATCTCATGCTCTAACAACTGAGGAGAGGAGACAGATGAGCATCTTTGCTTGTGCCCCGAATCAAGTCGACCCTTGTTCTGCCAACAGAACTTTGCTCCCCAAACAGCAACAGACTGATTTCATTCAGGCAGGGGAGAAATAGCAGGAGTGAGTGTAGCAAAGGGGGAGGGAGGAAAGAGAGGGGGAAATGAAGTGTCATGAGGTCATAGGAAAGGACACAGTGGGGGAAGGCATAGCACTCTGCAGATGTTCAGAGGAGACTTCTTTGCTCACATACAGCATTTCAAGATTGACGGAAAGGAAAGGAAAGGCATGGAAATAGGGATGAAAGTGAAAACATGAGTACAAAGAAGGCTGCAGAAGAGGAGTGGTTGGATGCTTCAGAATTGGGGGCATGTTAAAATGGGACTGAGTGGTTGCGATGGGGGGGGGGGGAGATCCAGGAGGTTAACATGGGTGTCTGTGTGCAAAGGGAGAGTTTAAGTTCCTCCATCCTATGTTATATTCCAGCAGTCATTTCTTATACATATACAAGCTTATATTTGTAGCTGTAAGTGCTAGAACCTTACGTGGGTTTGTTTTATTTTAAATGAAAAACTCCCAGAACCAAATTTCCCAGTATTCATTCTCACTGCACTTTTTCAGTGATCACATGGAATCAAGGAACACACAGAGACCTGTTCACTCCAGACCAGATTCTCCTCTGAAGCTTTAGGAGAATGCTAGTACCAGCATTTCAAGAAGGAAATTTGCCAGAATGCATACTCCCAACCATTTTCACAATCACTATAAAGAATATTTTCATGGAAATGTGTGCATAATGTGGTGCTTTGTGGTACATTTGTTGTGGAGCTGGGATACAGTTGGGGGAAGAGGGGGTTATTGCAAACAGCTGCAAAAGGGGAAGTGGCGGGGGGAGGGTGGTCGGGGGAGGGGTTTCTTATCTCGGTTTCTCATCCCAGGAGCATATGGTGAGCAGGGCTTTGCTAGGGAGAAGGGTGCTAAGGCAGAGATAAGGTGTTGGGAGAGCCCTTGATCTTGGCATGGAAAGAAATTTGCAGCTGTCTGGCTGGAAGGGGGAGGGGGAAGGCTGCTTAGTTTGGAGATTGGGCTTTACAGCGAGTGGGGAAGGGGGAGGGAGGGGGACTAGAGAGCCGCTTTGCTGCAAGCTGGGGAGGGAGGGGAGATTGTTCACTTGGGCTGAAAAGGTTCCCCACCTCTGCCTTAGAAAAATAGTGAAGATGATCTCCAAAAGAATATATTAATAAATAAAAATCCCAATGGGCACAGCAGGGTGGGCAACCAACACAAGCAGCAGAGGAGCCCAGCGCAACAAAAACAGCCCAAGGCATCGTGTCGGCGACTCAGCGAAGCTGGTGCCTTTTGGTGTAAGCAATGTGCGCTGGGCAGGCCTCTCCACAGCCCTACGCCAATCCCAGGCATGCAGAAGGGTGGAGCTGGCCGACCGCCTCAGCGCCTGGCTGGCTGGCTCACCCCCAAAGTCATGCACACAGAGCCAGTGTGGTGTAGTGGTTAAGAGCGGTAGTCTCGTAATCTGGGGAACCGGGTTCGTGTCTCTGCTCCTCCACATGCAGCTGCTGGGTGACCTTGGGCTAGTCACACTTCTCTGAAGTCTCTCAGCCTCACTCACCTCACAGAGTGTTTGTTGTGGGGGAGGAAGGGAAAGGAGAATGTTAGCCGCTTTGAGACTCCTGAAGGGGAGTGAAAGGCGGGATATCAATTGTTTCAGCAGGAAGTCCCAGATTACATTATCAAACGCTTTCTCAGCGTCCACGAATAACAACAAACCTTGTTTATCACACCTGTCTGTTAAGTATTCTATGATGTTTATTATATTTCTTGTGTTGTCTTTCATTTGCCTACCCGGCAAAAAGCCGGCTTGGTCTTTGTGTATACTTTCTACCAGAATGTCTTTTAATCTCTTTGCTAGGATTCCCGCAAAAATCTTGTAGTCTATATTTAACAGAGAAATCGGTCTGTAGTTTTTGATCTGCTGTAAATCTGAGTCTTGTTTAGGAATTAGTGTGATCAGTGCCTCCTTCCAACGTCTCTGGTAATTCTCTTTCTTTGAGGATGTTATTCATTACTTCTTGCAATGGGGTCAACAGAGCTGGCTCCATCTCCTTATAGTATCTACCAGTAAACCCATCTGGGCCTGGGGCTTTCCCATTTTTTAAGTTCTTAATTGTTGCTTTGATTTCTTCTATCTCAACTAGGGCATTCAGCTTCTCTTTTTCTACTGTGGAGATCTTGTTGATGTTCTTAGTTTTTAAATATCTCTCTATTTTCTCATATTATTCCTTTCTGTGTTTTTGAAGAGTCCTCTGTAAAAATCCAAAAAGGCCTTCCTTATTTCTTTGGGCTTGCTTATCTCTTTCCCTTCCACCTCGATTTTATTTATTGTGTTCTGCTCCTTCCTTTTTTTTAATTGCCAGGCTAGTAGCTTCCCTGATTTATTGGCATACTCGAAGTTCCTTTGTCTTAATTTTTTAACTTTCCATTCTATCTCTCTATTTATCAACATCGCGTACTGGGATTGTAGAACTTTAATGTTCTCTTTTATATTCTTATTTTGGGGATTTTTAGTTAATTTCTGTTCGTTCTCCAATATTTGTTGTAGAATTTCTTTTTTACCTTTTTCTCTCTTTTTATTCTTAATTGCATTATGTTGGATAAAGAAGCCCCGCATCACCGCCTTGCCTGCATCCCACACCACCTTTGGTTTTGTACCTTTACCTAGATTGTCTTCAAAGTATTCCTTTAACCTGTTTTGGGCTTTCTCTATTATCTCTTGGTCGTCCAATAAATAATCTTTCATTTTCCATCTGTTTAATCTTCTTTCCAGCCCTTTCAATTCCATTTTTATTGGGTTATGGTCGGAAATTGTTTTGGCCTGGATCCCCACCTTTGCAGCTCTTGGGGTTAACATATGGAGGTGGGCACTGAATTTTACAATGGGATAAGAGCTATTTACACAGAACAGAGGGCAAGACTCATAATAAACAATGTAGAGACTGCAGAAATAATAGTAACAAAAGGAACAAGACAGGGATGCCCACTGTCCCCATTACTGTTTGTAATGGTGTTAGAGGTTTTACTTAATTCCATAAGAGACAACAAAAAAATAAAGGGAGTAAGGGTTGGTCAGAGCGAATATAAAATCAAGGCTTTCGCAGACGATCTGGTTGTAACAATGGAAGACCCATTAGACTCAATAAAAGAGGTACTTGAAGAATTTAACCAATTTGGTAAAATATCGGGCTTCAAACTTAACAAAAGGAAAACAAAAATGATAGTTAAGAATATGTATAAGGACAAAGTTGAAGAACTACAAAGAGAAACGGAATTAGAGGTGACTAAGAAGGTGAAATATCTAGGAGTATGGGTAACGCCAAAAAATATAGATTTATTCAAAAACAATTATGACACAGTATGGAAAGGAATTAAGAAAGATATAGAAACGTGGGGCAGGCTCAGATTGTCATTTTGGGGTAGAATAGCCACAATCAAAATGTCCGTACTTCCCAGAATATTATTTCTTTTCCAAAATATCCCCGTGATTAAAGGTACAAGGATATTCAAAGTCTGGCATAGGGAGATTTCAAAATTTATCTGGCAGGGGAAGAAGCCCAGAATAAAATTTAAATTGTTGACGGATGTGAAGGAGAGGGGAGGCTTCGCCCTACCTGATCTGAAATTATACTACGAGGCATCATGCCTATGCTGGGTAAAGACATGGATCAAGCTGGAGGATAGAGAAGTACTGGACTTAGAAGGCCACGACAATCGATTCGGGTGGCACGCCTACTTGTGGCATGGGTGGAGGAGAATGCATAAGGAATTTGGAAATCACATATTTAGGGGCCCACTGATTGAGGTATGGGAAAGGTACAAAGACGTGCTAGAACCTAAAACACCCCACTGGCTGTCACCATTAGAAGTTATGTCGGTTAAAAAGATCAATATGAGGGCCAACTGGGCCACATATGAACAACTGTTAATGAAAGAGGAAGGAAAGTGGAAAATGAGGCCGTACGAGCAGGTCAAGGACCAAGTTTATGATTGGCTCCACTACTTCCAGACAAATGATATGTTTAGGAAAGATATCAAAGATAAAGGATATGCAGATAAAAACTCCAGATTCCAAATTGAGATTTTGGAAAACAATACAAAAACTTTGTCTAAAATGTACAATCAGTTACTGGACTGGAATCTAATTGACGAGGAAGTCAAGTCGGTAATGACACATTGGGCCAAAGATCTTGGCCGTAACATCTATTGCGAAGAGTGGGAAAAACTATGGAAACAACATCTTAAGTTTACGGCTTGTGTGACACTTAAGGAGAATTTAATGAAAATGTTCTACCGTTGGTATATGACTCCCGTCAAACTAGCTAGAATGTACGGATCCTGTAACAAATGCTGGAAGTGCAAGGAAAGAGAGGGGACATTCTACCATATGTGGTGGGAATGCCAAAAGGTTAAAGGGTTCTGGGAGAGTGTGTATAATGAAATAAAGAAAATTGTAAGCTATACTTTTGTTAAGAAACCCGAGGCATTCCTGCTGGGATTGGTAGGAAGGGAGATAAAAAGAAAAGATTACAAGCTGTTCCAGTACGTAACAACGGCAGCAAGGGTCCTGTTAGCTCAAAGATGGAAACTAGAGGGTTTGCAGACAATTGAGGATTGGAGATCAAAATTATTAGACTACGTGGAGATGGATAAGATGACAGGGAAAATTAGATATATAAAAGACCAGAGGTTTATAAAAGATTGGGAAAGTTTTGCGGAATATCTGGGAAACCTAAGCGATGGACAGATAACAATAGTGGGTTTTAAGGGAGCTCTGTAAGAAGCAAAGGGTACTGTCTAAAGCAAAACAGAGGAATCAGAATAATTAACGGCACTACAAAATAAGAAATGCGGAATTACTGGTTTTTACCAATACGGATGATTTGTGGGAAGGTTGAAGGAAGTCACTTTTGTAAAATATGTGAACACTAAGTGGAATACTATAGTTTGTTCTGTATTTCGATTTATGTAAATCAATAAAAATTATCTATGAAAAAAAAAAGAAAGGCGGGATATCAAATCCAAACTCCTCCTCCTCCTCCTCTTCTTCTTCTTCTTCCCCCCGCAGAAGAGCCCGTCGCAGCGCTCTGACTGACGGGTGGGCTCTTCCCCAGTCCCCAATTCTCAGGCCCCAGACTCTTGGCCTGGTGGCCCTGAGAGCCCAGCGCCTGGGGGCCCCCGCACTCCTCCCGCTATGGTCAAGACAGCCCTGCTGACCACTTAGAAAACTATCAGACAAGGAGAGGACTTGAATTGTGCTTATCTGAAGGAAAACCAATTGGTGATATTATCCAGCAGAAAAGTAGGCATGTATAACAACATTGGCTAGAAATCTTGGAACACTTGATTACTTTGGTCAGAGTTCTTGGCATGCAAAACTTGGCATTCCATAGTACAACTAAAAAGCTGTACAGTGCTAGCAATGGATTTTTTATTTTACATTTGTAGAATATCTAGCGCTTTTCAATCCTATCATGAATGAACAATTGTGCAGAATTAAATATCAAGAAACAATGGTTCATTACCTAGGGAAAGATACCCAAAATGAGCTTTTGCAGTTTCCACCAGGTACTGTGAAGCAGAACATTTTAGGACATGCAAACTCAACCAAATGCTACTCAGTTATTCAGGGCTGCACATTGAACAAATGACCATGATGGTACGTTATGTTGATGTAATCAAACCATCACACAATGAGAAGTCTGAGACTGAGGTTC